AGGGAAGTCCACTTACAACTGGGTGTCTTCCAAATAGCAACTGGGTGTCCAAAAAACAGAGTGAAATGATCACATAATCAACAGCTAAATAGTCAAACTTCCAAGACCAGTGGAGCCGCGGTTTTCTTTTTTTCAGCGAATTGTGTTTGTCTGCCATCAGCAAATTGGCACCTGGCATCCAGAATCCACCAAACATGGCGGTTGCAAATGTCAATTGAAGATTGTTGAAGCCAGAAACTATCTAAATTAAAGGAATGAGGACAAATACAGCCAGGGTCTTTTTAATACCTGCCACTGCTTGATCACGGGTGATCACCCCAAGCGATCTACTTCTGACGGAAGGCCAGAGCAACTTCGACTCCTTCCTTGCATAACTGATCCAAGAGCTTCTTCCGACGAGCTTCTCCAGCCTTTTGCATCTCAGAACTGCTCTTCTCCGCAGCCCTCGCCTGTTTCCATCCACAACTGTAAGCCTGAGGGTCAGGAACCCCAGAAACCCACCTGAGCAAATGCCACCCCCACAGTAAGCCAACAACAGAAAGCTGGGCCAACCACGGAATGCAATTTCTTTTTCAACATTTCATTTGTCATATCCTGCAAAGAATTTGATTGAAAGATCGCCAAGCAGAACAACACATCCACACAATGGCAAAGACTTTCTAATTTTTATTTTCTGAACCGTCTTGAGTCATTGAGCGCAAACAGAACCAAGTCCTTTGGGGAATGGTCGAGCTTTGACTTCTTCGCAAACTTGTTGCTCTTTGCTTTTGCCTTGGCTTTTCCTGCTGCCTTTGGTTGTCCATGTTGCTTTTCTTTGGTCTTCTTTGTGTGTGCATTTACCCTGGGTGTTGTCAGCGCCAGCTTTGTAATCTGCTCTTTGTCCTGAAGGCAAAATTAAGAGCAGCCCACATTATGACACAACGCAAGAAGGAAAACATAAGCAAATGGGCAACTTGAGGAAAACAATGCAGCCTCGGCTGCTGTCTTTGTTGTGATTTTTCCTTCTGGTGCAGGATTTGCAACGGCAGACTTTGGAGTATCATCCTTTGGTTCGGGTGCAGCCGGCAAGGTCTCATTCTTGGGCGCCGGTGTGCATGCATCCTTTGCATCCTCAGAGGTCTTCCTTCCTTTTTTCGCTTTTGCTTTCACAGCAGTCGTCTTTTTCGCACCTGTCTTGGCCTGACAACAACATAGGAAGCAAGACCAGGAAAACGTGAGGCAGCAATACTTCTTCTAAAATCAAGACCTAAGAATGCAAGAGCCTTCTCATCAGCAGCCGGACGTTTTTTTGGAGTCTTAGTAGTGTCTTCTCCTGTTGCACCAGTTCCTTCATCTTCGTCATCAGATTTGGATTTCTTGTTCTTTGAAACCTCCTTTTCCGAATCTTTTGTCTCGCCCTTGCTTTTGCGTGGTCTGCCCTTAGCTTTGGGCTCTGCCTTCTTTTTCTTTTCATTGTCTTCATCTTTTTCGGAGGACGACCCTGATGCATTGAACTTTGGTGGCAAACCTCAGCATAACAAAACAAATGTTGGGAAAATGGTGGTCACCCCAAAGCTCCATAGGAAACATGTGACCATCTCATCCCGCCTGCTGTTGAACTTGTTGGAGGGCCGCCAGCACTAGAGCTTCTCTTTGGGGCTGCACTTGCTTTTGTAGTGGGGGATGCGCTTGCTTTTGTACTTGGGTTTGCGCTTGCTTGTGCTCGCGGTGCGCGCGCAGGTTGAGAGACAGTACCCATCAAGTGTTCAAGATCGAAGGCCTTCGTGCCACAGGTCACAGACACAGGCAAACAAAAACAATTTCACCATCATGATTTAACAACAAAAAACATTTGACCTGAAAGGAAGGAGCAAACAAGGAGAACAACAAGGTATGAAAGGAGCAAACGTGTTGTTTGAGGCTGAGGCAGGGATTGATCTTGCAACCGGGGCCATCCCCACAGCAGGCCGCATACCCGTAAGCTCTGGCTCAGAATCAGAACTATAAGAAGCCATTGTGGCGTCTCAAAATGTCTCAAACCCTTTTTGAGACATCAAATGTCTTCAGAATGCAATTCTTTTGACAGGGTGTTCAATGTCCCAGAGACAAAGCAATGTTTCATTGCAGTCACAACCATCGTAACCTTCCTCTGGTTTTGGCCTGTCGACCCCTGAGCAGTGCCCAAGACTTCGATGACGAGGCACAGGGATTGGCAGCTCTAGTCAGGGCCATGTGCTTCAAAAAAAGGATCAATCTTTCCGGAGATACAGTTTGCTATACATGACTTCGCATGATCGAAAACTATAAACCATGAGACTTGCTAATGATAAATCACACTTGACTTTATCCGCTTTATCTTCATGTGGGCCAAAAAATGTTTGAAGCACACCCCCCGAAGGCTGGCTTTGTAGGGCTCTGTGTGAACCCTTGTGGCATCTCAAAAAGCATGGGAAGGCTTGACCAGGATCTTTAAAGCAAACAGCCATATATGGCCACTGGGTCATCTCATATTTGGCAGGACATAGCCTATTGAATCCATTCCCAAATTGTTCAGCTTCCCCTGCGACCAGTCATGCTTCACATGACTTGCACCACTTGATTTTCAGCGAGCTCAACTTGCCCCTTCAATATACACACAGGTCGCTGCGGAACAAGCTGCGTGCTTCCCCCAGCGGGCTCCAATCTGGCGAAGGGAAGGAAAAATGACCCTGATATGATCCAAGCCTAAGTGAATGACATAATAAACTCTAAGAGTCTACTTGAACGATTGGTTGAAATTGACATTTAATAGCAAAGGTCCCCAGTGTCATGGCGCACCTCACACGCCATGCCACCTCAAATGCTTTGCATTGGACCAACTTTTGAAGATCCATCTTTGCTCCGAAAGTGATGGCTGAAAGCTTTGGGTCTTTGACAGCCTTCTTCTTTCGCTTTTTGGTCGGGGGTTCACCAGCAGGTGTGTCCAAGACAAAGCACAAGGCTTTGTCAAGCTCGATCGCCCCCCCGGCCAAATCCAATTTGTGGTGAGAGAAGCCAACTTTTACCTCATATCCACCAGCGCTCATGCAACATAATATTGGTATGCGGACTAAAACAAAGGGATCATGTTTGAAGGTTTGTGAAGAGCAACTCATTCATCCAAGATACTTCCCCCTGGTCTTCCAGGGCCATGAGCAGGTCTTTCAAGGGCACAGGTTGATCAAGACAAGACAACTCGCTGAGATGCGCAGGGATTTTTTTCTTCTCCAGGATAATCATCGATTCAAACCCAACGTGGCATTTCAGCCAACTTCCAGCTGTGTCAGCCATGACTTGAGTTGCATCAGTGCCATCATTCCAAACACCACTCCCGAAACTGAAGAGTTCCCGGCGGTGGGGCAACATAGCTTGCTCTGACCCCGCTTTCAGGTAGGCATCACGCCCGTCTTCAGAAACAATGAGGCTCACCTGGCTGTTCACAGCCAACTCAGACCTGGGAAGCCAGCAGTTGGCTCAAGGTACATCAAGGTTACAGCTGATTGCCAATGGTTGGAAACCAGCAAGCTGGCGGCCAAGCTTTGCTTGGATGCCAGCGAGCTGGCTGCCAAGGATTGCTTGGATGCCAGCAGTTGGTTGCCAACGTTTGGCTTCAGCAGTGGTTGGTTAGACTGTTGGTTACATTGTAAGATGCAGCAATCAAATGAAACACATTGGAACCACAAATGCGCATAAACACAATGTGGCAGCAAGTAAGAAGGTCACGGATTGGGAATGGAAGCCATCTTGGCGGGCGTTAGCTCCTGCCCGTCTTCAGGTTCGACCAGCTCGACTTTGGCAGCTGCAACATCCCTCTTTGACGGGGAAGGCTTCTCACTCACCCGCAGATTCTCAGAATTGTACTTCTCGTTGTGCTCTTCAACCAATTGAGTAAACTCCAGGCAAGTTTCTGATTCCTCTTTGCCAAACTGTTGAAAGAATTGCTCTTGCACAATGAGGTTCCCGGATGGGTGTAGGGTGGTTACCTTGAAGGCCTCCCCAAGGCCAGGTGCACCATCCCCAGTGCCAGCTGTGTCTGAGAGCTCAGCCACCAATGGGGCAAAGTCTGGGAAGCCAGAAACCGAAAAGCTCTTGAGTCTGCACTTTTCATACAACGATGTAGCAATGCGATCCAAAATGATTTCCCCCGGCAATGCCCTACGTTTCTTCGTTGACGCAGACTCAATGACCACCGTTGCGCAAACAACTTTGGGAGATTCGACCTATCCAGCAAGGAAAGCCACACCCAAATCTACGATATCAAACATTAAACAACAAATGAATCAACATTATGACAATATCAATTTGCAAACTAATATTAACATGGGGACATGAAATGGCAATGACAACAAGGAGAGGCCTCCAAAGTACTCAAAGCAGGAAATGCGTCGTAGCCATGTCCATCCACAAGGGCCAAACGCTGCACAGAGGTGTTTTGCGTCAGGCCAGCAATCAAACGCTTCAAGACATCGGTTCCACCACAAGCCTGGTGTGAAAAACACAATTACGATATCCAAACACTACATCATGATTGATGTCAAAGAATCATTGATGTACTTAAAAAACAATTAATAGCCCAATGCTGTTTGAGAACAGTTCAATCAAGAATCAAATCCAAGAAACTTGTTTGGCTTCTTGGCAGTCAGTGAAGGCCGCGTTCATTTTGACTTCAATCGTTTCTTGACAAGGTGGCTTGTACATTTCTGCTCTTGCCAACATGGCCACACCACCAATGACCCCTCGCTTCCACAGAGGTGATTTCCAAAACACATTCCCGCCAGGTGAGGCATGTTTGGCCTCAAGGCACAGAAGCCCGATGAGGCATGTTGGTAACAAATCCAATTGCAGCAAACTGGATACCAACTGCTGGATGCCAGCAAGCTGGCATCCAACTGTTGGCTGCCAGTTCACTGGTTGGTTAGTTCAGAGGGAAAGCGTACCCATGTCAGGCTACATCTTTATTTGACCTTCGAGCAAGGCTGTTATCCGAATGGGGGGAAACAAGGAGAACACCATTGATGCAACAGAACGAATGGGTCCAATGTAATTGTTTGAAGCTAAGTAACTGTGATCATCATTCCCTTCATGAAGGCAGCACGGTTTCCATACACAGTACTGGGATCAAAGCAAATCATCAAATCCTTCACCAAGAGATTGCGCGATGGTTGCCGAAGCTCAGCTTCAAAGTTGTACTGGAAATCACTGAGAGCATTTGTTGTTGGCAGTGTTCCCAAGCCCATGTCATCACCATCCTCAGCATCGCCCATGTCATTGTCTTCATCTTTTGCCTCATCGTCCTCATCTTCGTCCTTTTCATCTTTCTTGTTTTTCCTGCGATTCAACAAACTTGCCAAACACAAATCATGAACATTGTCGAGACGCCTTAGTCTGACTTTGCTAATCACCATGTACAATGTACACCATTATCAAAACTCAAACACATACCACATACAAAACATATAGCGTGAGGCTCTGACCCACTTTTGGTATCTGTAGCACGGTTGGCATGGACAATCACTGCAATACTGTTCCCAGCAGTTGTAGTCAAAAAGCCAGTCACCAATGAAATCAGAAAGTTCTTCTTCATGGCTGAAAGAATGCCGGCTGTGGTCAAATTGATCCAGACTACAACACCTTCTTCTTGGCAACTTCTAACGTATGTAAGTTCTTCAAAGCACTGCTCGATCCATGGCAGAACAGTGGGCAGTAGTGTTTGCTCAGGTTTGATGGTCCAAACTTTTAGACAACGCTGCACATAGGCGTTGACAACTTCCCAGGATTGCTTGTGCCTTAGCTGAAAGTTGTGATGACACACAGCTGGATCAGAGTAACAAGTGAGCCTAACATAAGCTTTTGCGAGGCACATGCATTTTCCAAATCATGTTTAAGCACTTGATTCGCAATGCATCTTCAGTGTGCACCTGTGACACTCTATTTTTTCTGAGCCTAGTGTCATCTCCTCCAGTTTGGCAAGTACCTCCCGACGCTTCACAGCTTGCTCTTTCGAGGTCCTGCCCAAAACATTTAATGGGCTGGGGCGATGGCCAAGCACACTGGCTTCCAGCAAGCTGGATGCTCAGTGAAGTGGCTGCCACTGACTGGCTT